CCCTGGGTAGAGTGCCGTGGCATCACAGCTCACAGTAACCTCCAACTCCTGGGCTCAAGCGAGTCTCCAGCCTCGGCCTCCCAAGTAGCTGGGACTATAGGCACCTGCCACAACGCCTGGCTGTTTTTTGGTTGCAGCCATCATTGTTGTTTGGCGGGCCCAGGCTGGATTCGAACCTGCCAGCTCAGGTGTATGTGGTTGGCGCCTTAGCCACCTGAGCCACAGGCCCCGAGCCAACAAACTAATTCTTAATTTCATACAGAAAGGCAAAGACCCAGAAAAGCAGATATAAAATTGAAGAACAGAAAAATTAGACTTATTACTAATTAGACTTATTATATCTAAAAATTAGACTTATTACTCAAGACTTAATATAAAACTACCAGTGACGGCAACAGTATGGTCTAGGAGACAGAATAGACAAATAGATCAATGGAACCCATGGAGGCCCCGTAAATAGTTGCGCAGATATAGTCAATCATTGACAAAGAGACAAAAATCAATGAGAAAGAAGTCTGTTCATCAGATACTGCTGGGATAATTGGACATCCACATAGAAAATGAATCTAGAGATAAAGCACGTACCTTTCATAGAAATTAACTCAAAATGATTCATAGACCTAAATATAAATTCCCAAACTGTAAAACTTCTAGAAGATAAGAGAAAATCTTCTCCTGTCACCACCTTGGGTCCAGCAGTGGTTTTTATCTACAACACAAAAAGCATAATTCTGAAAGAAAAAAATTGATGTTGGATTTCATTAAAATTTCTGCTCTAAAGAAGACACAGTTAAGAGAATGAAAAGACAAGCCATAGACTGGTAGAAAATAGGTGCAAACATGTATCTGATAAAGGATTTGTATCCAAAACAAAGAACTCTTAAAATTCAACAATAAATCCAATTAATAAATGGATCTGAACAGATAGCACCTACCCAAAGAAAGTACACAGATGTCAAATAAACATAGACAACATGCTCAACGTAAGTCATTAGGCAACTGCAGATTAAAACGAGATACCACTACACATCTATTAGAAGGTTTAAAATCCAAAACACTGACACCATCAAATGCCAGCAAGGAGGCAGCACAACAGGAATTCTCATTCCCTGTCAGCGGGAAGAGGAGATGGTACAGCCAGTTTGAAAGGAAGTCTGGAAGATTCTTGCTAAACTCAATGTAGCCTTAACATACCATCCAGCAATCATGTTCTTTGGAATTTACCCAAATAAAATAAATAAATAAATAAAATCTACAGAACAACCTGCACACTAATGGTTGCAGCAAATTGATTCATAACAGCTGAAAAATTAGAAGTAACCAATGTCCATCAACAGGGAAAGATAAACAAACTGCATGCACGAAATGCAGTGTTACTCACTGATGAAAGGAAATGAGCTGTCAAGGCATGAAGAGACACTGAGGACCCTTACTGCTAAACAAAAGAAGCCAGCCAAAAAGGGCTTCAGTGGTTCTCAACCTGTGGGTCGCGACCCCTCTGGGGGTCTCCTGCATATCAGATACTTAAATTACGATTCATAACAGTAGCAAAATTAGTTATGAAGTAGCAATGAAAATAACTTTATGGTTGGGGGTCACCACGACATGAGGAACTATATTAAAGGATCGCAGCATTAGGAAGGTTGAGAACCACTGGGCTACATGATTCCCATTAGGTGATATTTTAGAAAATTAAAACTTCAGAGACAATAAAGAGTGGCTGAAGGTCAAGTGCAGTGGCTCAGGCCTGTAATCTTAACACTCTGGGAGGCGTAGGCAGGTGGATCGCCTGAGCTCACAGGTTTGAGACCAGCCTGAGCCAGAACGGAAATTCCATCTCTAAAAAAAATAGCTGGGGGCGGCACCTGTGGCTCAAAGGAGTAGGGCACTAGCCTCATATGCTGGAGGTGGCAGGTTCAAACCCAGCCCTGGCCAAACACTGCAAAAAAAAAAAAAAGCTGGGTGCTGTGGTGGGTGCCTGTAGCCTCAGCTGCTCAGGAGGCTGAGGCAAGAGAATTGCTTGAGCCAAAAAGTTTGAGGTTTCTGCAAGCTATGATGCCATGATACTCCACCAAGGCATCAAGACTTTGTCTCAAAAAAAAGAAAAGAAAAAGAGTGTTTGCCAGGGACTCAATGGGAAGGGAGAGAGGGATGTCTAGGAGGACAATGGGGAATTTTTAGGTCATTGAAACTAATCCTATATCCTACTGTAATGGTGGAAACATAACATTAAATATTTGTCAAAATCCACAGAATGTACAACCCAAGAGTACCCTAATGTAATCTATGAACTTCAGTTAATAATGTGTAAATATTGGTTCATAGACTGTAACAACTGTATACTAATGCAAGATGTTAATAACAGGGAATTGTGGAAAGTGATGGGGGGTCTGTGGGAACTCTGTACTTTTCTGCTCAGTTTTTTTGTAAACCTAAAATTGCTCTAAAAAAATAAGTACATGAAAAATAGACAAGCCAATAACGGGAAGTTGGTACGTGCAGCACATACAACTGGAAAAGGATTAGTAGACAGAATGTATAAAATAGTCACAAATCAAGAAAAAGACAAATACAACAGAAAAATATTTAAACAATGAAGGCATGACCAGGTATTTCAAAGAAAAGGAAACACAAATGGCCAATAAATACATGAAAAAATTCACTCTCACTAGTAATAATACATCAAAATGCAAATCAGAATATAATAAAATATTGTTACCCACCTACTAAATTGTCAAAATAAAAAGTCATACAATCTCAAGTGATGAAAAGGACGTGGGACAACTGAAATTTGTGCACCCTGCTGGTGACAAAGTGCATCGATGCAAATGTTTTGGAAAACAGTTTGGCGTTATTTGATAAAGTTAAGCATTTACATAGACCATGACCCAGCAACCCCCCTCCTGGGTAGATACCCTAGAAATGCCTACACATGTGCACTAGGAGGCGTCCACAAGAATGTTGCTAAAAAGCACCAACACACAAGAAAAAGCTAAACGTGAAACTAATAAAAAGTGTAAAATGCCCATATAATGGAAAACAGTAGTTTAATTAGTAGCTAGGTTTCTAAGAACAGAGGTGATAGTCACAAAATCTAAAGACTTGGAGTATAGGCAATGATCAGTGAGAACAGAGAGCAAGCCAAACGAAAGCCACCCAAATGGTATGTCAATATATATGTTGGCTCAACACTAGATAAAAGAATATTTCACAGTATGATTCCATGTGTATAAAAACTTCCAAAATTAATCACCAATACATAGTTTAGAATGTTTAGAAACATACAAAGAAGAAATGAGTAGTTAGATGTAAAACTCCAGAGCAGGGGTCCTCAACCTTTTTAAACAGGGGGCCAGTTCAGTGTCCCTCAGATCGTTGGAGGGCCAGACTGCAGGCCCTGGGATGAGTTGGCTGCTAAGCAGGACAGGCAGCAGTGGCAAAAACACCCAGCTGGCCAGATAAATGTCCTAGGTGGGCTGCATGTGGTCCATGGGCCATAGTTTGAGGATGCCTGCTCCAGAGGGAATGATGAGGGCTAAGATATGATGGGGTATATACACATGAACTTCTTTCTTGAACCTTGTGTTGGGTACCCACAATGGCATTCACTGTATTACAGTATTATTCCTATACCTTACATGTTTCCTAAATATTTTATATATGCTCAACATTTAATAATAAAAACAATTTTTAAAAAGCATTCAGGAATTACAGAATGAAATCTGAGTCCTGATTTCAGCTTTTATTAGCAGAATTATTTTAGGTACCTTGGTTCATCTTTTGGGGTCTTGGTTTCCCCTTCCATAAAAGGAGGGTGTTGACTACCTGAACATAGTTAAAAAGGAGCAAATATAAAAGGTAAACAAACACATGGGGAGAGCAAGGGTTGTATTTCTATAGTATCTCCTTATCCTTACCTCCAGTGTTGAACAGATAACTATTTTCATGGCCTGAAAAAGCTTTCGATGGAATTATCTAGAGCTCTGACTAATTCTAGAGCTCAAAGACACTCTCCCATGCCTGCTCACTTCACATCTTTTTCATAGCAATCAAAGTAATCTCGAATCTTTGTTACCTCCTCTTACTGTAGATTCCAGCACTTAATGGGAACATAGAACAAGGAACTCATACCCTGTGGATCTCAGAAGGAAAAGTAGGGCTCTAGGAGAAAATGGGAAAAAGTATGTACAGCTGTCCTTCAGGACCCCAAATCTATCCCAAACATAGATATTCTGTAGTAATATAGGCTTATCTTCCCTTGAGCCAACAATTTTGGATTGGCTACTTGTGGTTACATTTTCAATGTTTCAATGTTTTAGTCTTTTTTTCTTTTCTAAAAACTAATTTGTATACTCTAACTTAATTTATGGTTACTTTGTTGTGCTATCAAATAGGATTCATTCTATCCAACAATCTAACTATATTCTGCATCCATTAACCATCCCCATTTTATCTCCCCACTCCCTGCTACCCTTTCCAGCCTCTGATAATCACTGTTCCACTGTCTGTCTCCATAAGATCATTTTTTTAATACGTAGCTCTCACATATGAGTGATAACATGTGAGATTTGTCTTTGTGTGCTTGGCTCATTTTGCTTAACATAATGTTCTCCACTTCCATCCATGTTGTCACAAGTGGCAGGATTTCATTCTTTTTTATTGCTACATAATATTCCAGTGTGTATATGTACCACAATGTCTTTATCCACTCATCCACTGATGAACACGTAGGTTGACTCCAAATCTTGGCTATTGTGAATAGGGATGCAATAAACATAGGGATGCAGATATCTTTTCAACATACCAAATCCCCTTCCTTTGGATCTATACCCAGCGGTGGGATTGTAGGGTCAGATAGTAGGTCTGTGTTCAGTTTTTGGAGGAACTTCTCTTCTGGTCTCCATAGTGCTTGCACTGATTTACATTCCCACCAAGAGCATATGAAGGCTTTCCTTTCTCCACATCCTTGCCAGCATCTGTTCTTGCCTATCTTTTTATTTAACTGAGGTGAGATGATACCTCATTGTAGCTTGATTCATATTTTTCTGATGACTAACGGTGTTGAGCGCTTTTTCAAATACTTGTTGGCCATGTGTATGTCTTTTGAGAAATATCTATTCAGATTATTTGCCCATTTTTTAAATCAGATTTTCCTATTGAATTGTTGGAGCGCCTTATATATTCTAGTTATTAATCCATTACCAAATGGGTAGTTTGCAAATGTTTTCTCCCATTCTGTGTGTTGTCTCTTCTCTTTGTTGATTACTTTTTGCTGTGCAGGAACTTTTTAGCTTGATGTAATCTGATTCGTCCAATTTTTCTTGGGTTGCCTATACTTTAGGGGGTATTACTCAAGAAATCACTGCCTGGACCAGTGCCCTGAAATGTTTCTCCAGTGTTTCCTTTTAGTCACTTAACATTTTAGTTCTGTGATCATTACAAGGTCTTCTATTCTGAGCCTTCTATTTGCATTTAAAACGTAAATTCATTATCATAAATAAGTCTATCACTCTAAAAACCTATATAAAACTGGCAATCGAAACCTCTGCTTTTTTGCTCTCTCCTTATGGAATGATTTCCATTCCTTTTTTTTTTTTTTTTTTTTTTGAGACAGAGCCTTTGTTGTCCTTGGTAGAGTGCCATAGTGTCATGGCTCAAGTGATCCCCTTGCCTCTGCCTCCCAAGTAGCTGGGACTATAGGCACCTGCCACAATATCTAGCTATTCTTAGAGACAGGATCTCACTCGGGCTATCCACCTGCCTTGGCCTCCCAGAGTGCTAGGATTATAGGTGTGGGCCTGATTTCCATTCCTTTGCAATACCAAATGGTTAATCTGGTTGGTTTTCTTCTTTTGTTTTTTGTGTATGGAATGCTGGTGAGACACAGAAAGGAGACAGCATGAATAACACTCAGATTCTCTCTTCTACTGTTTAAACTTCATTTATAAGCCTGTGTCTTACAGGAAAACTTTCTGTTAAGTGGAGAGAGAACATGGGAAAGCAAAGGCATCCAATACTACTACTGGGCTTCCTCCCTCTGCCAGCCAGAGAGCTCATGTTCACTTCCTTCATTTAATACCACCCCATCAGGGGAGGGAGGAATAATTATTTCAGTTTCACAACCAGCCAACAGACTTAATGACCTAAACAAGGTCTCACAGCTGGTATTTAAATGAACACCTCGCCCCACATGATAGACAAAAAAAAAATTTTTTAAATGTTCATGACCCTTAGAGAATCTGATTGCAGAAGTCTTTAAAACTCCCCTTGAGTAATATAAACTCCCCTTGCAAATATACTCAAGGTCAAGAACTGCTGGCCTATTCAATCCCTACTCTTTACTGCCAAGGAAAATGAAGGATAGTCATTACCATTCTCAGCATCTAACCAAAACATCTGATCTTGCTACAAAGAAGCCCAATTTCAAGCTTCATGAGAGTTTTTGTATCCCCAGCACCTAGAACAATATCTAAAGTGAGCAGAAACACTCAATAAGCATGTGTAGCAGGAACATAAGAATGAATGCTCTTCTGATTTTTATTCCGCACATACATCAAGTGCCAGGCCCCGTTGTGGGTTCTGGGGACTCGGCACTCTGAAGCAGTCTGAGGACACCTTTCCACTATGGAGCATCTAGGGCCGTTCTATGCAACAAAAATACACTGCAAGCCACGGGCATAATTCTACATTTCCTAGTTGTCACATGAAAAAGGTAAAAGGGCAAAATTATGTTTATTAATAGATTTTATTTCACACATTCTATTTAGAATCCTCTTTTAACAGGTAATGACTATCACATTATTTTTGCAGCTTTGTCGAGGTATTAATTGATAAAATTTTCCCAATTATAAAAATTATTTGCAAGTTAATTTACACTGATTTTTTTTTTCCACATCAAGCCCGTGTAATCTGGTGTACATGTAACACAGCACACTTCCAGCTGGAAACATGCTAAGGGATCCACAGTGGCTACCATATTGGATAGTTCTGGAGGATGAGACAGAAAAGTGAACAGACAAATACATAGATAGGGTGAGAAGAGAAGGCCTGCCTAAGGAAGCGCATTCAATAATTGAGCGATTTATAGGATTTAAGAACTTAACAGAGAAACACTACCTGTGCCTCTAGTGCTAGGCATACAAAATGTGCCTTTGGCACAATTTTGGATCTACCTCGCAGCACCTACTCATTGTTAGATTATAAAGTAAAATCCTATGTTAACAGAACCAGCCCCATATATCGGAGGTTGCGGGTTCAAACCCAGCCCTGACCAAAAACTGCAAACCAAAAAAAAAAAAAAAAAGAAAAAAAATCCTAAGTTAAGAGAGCTTTCTTCCCTAGACCCTTCCCCAGTGCTCCTCCTGGCATGGCCTGACCTGAGAGCCTGGAGCACCCAAGACCCTGAAACTAGCTACAGAGAAGCACAAAAGCCCAGTGTCTTCCAGTTTAGGAGCTGAGATGACTGAAGCCCAGAGGGTCACGGTCCTCCTGCCGGCAGTGAGGACAAACTGCAGTAAAGGCACCAGGAGAGCTCCTTGTTCTTCTCCAGTGAAGAGGGCAGGATGGGAAACCTCCACAGGCATCAGACAACGGCCTCTCTGCAGTAGATGGGTCTTTAAGATTCTACCCCGTGTTAGCCAAATGATGGGGGCATTGTGAAAAAATGGCTCAGATTAATAAAGAGAGGACCAGGCTGTTGTGGTAGGTAAAATCAATTTAAAAATCAATTTTTAAAAATCACATTTATTACCAAGTCTGTATTTAAAAAGTGAACATATTATCTTTATAAATTATATTAAATACTATAAAAATAAAAATTCATTTATTTTGAATATTTAAAATGTTTTGAAAAATGCCTGCTTGGGGCAGTTGATATGCTGAGATCCACAGCTGTGTCATTGTCAGCATTCTTTTAGGTGAAGGATATATATATGTAATTGTTTTTTTTTTGAGAGAGTCTCACTATGTCACCCTTAGTAGAGTGCTGTGGCATCACAGCTCACAGCAACCTCAAACTCTTGGGCTTAAATGACTCTCTTGCCTCAGCCTCCCAAGTAGCTGGGAGTACAGGTGCTCATCACAATACTTGGCTATGTTTTGGTTGTGGTTGTCATTGTTGTTTGGCAGGCCCGGGCGGGGTTTGAACCCACCAGCCCCAGTGTATGTGGCCGGTGCCCTAGCTGCTGAGCTACAGGTGCCAAGTCCATTTAATTCATTTTCATCCTCCAATTAATATCACAACTGTCCAGCAAAATACAACGGACTGAGAAGTCTATGGGGGAAACCAATAGATGGTGAAAAGACATTTAAGCACCCTTAGATAATGAGCAATATAAAGATAATAGTTATAAGTTTGAATACTTGTTTAAAATGATACTGTAAGTTTGCCAGTAGTTATTGTAAAGTACAACATAAACAAAATGTTTTGAATGTATTTTTTAAAATTTTTGACAATTTCTGTCATTGTAATTCCAGCAGTTTGCTTTCCTTCATTTAAACGTATAAGGAGGCCAGATGCAGTGGTTCATGCCTGTAATCCTAGCACTCTTGGAGGCCGAGGCAGGTGGATTGCTTGAGCTCAGGAGTTCCAGACCAGCCTGAGCAAGAGTGAGACCTTGTCTCTACCAAAAATAGAAAAAATAGCCAGGTGTAGTGGTGCACACCTGTGGTCACAGATATTTGGGAGGCTGAGGCAAGAGGAGCTCTTGAGCTCAAGAGATTGAGGTTGCTGTGAGCGATGACATCACAGCACTCTACCTAGAGTGACAGAGTGAGACTGTCTCAAAAACAAATCATATAAAGAATTTATAGGACAACATCAAAAAGAGTTGGCATTACTCAGCAGAGAGGCATAGAACAAAGCAGTTAAGAATATGGATTTGAATTCCATTCTCCACTCACTGGCTTTATGACCATGGGATAGCCAACCTTGCTTGTATATCAGTTTCCCCATCTGTCCCATGGGGATAACAATAGCACTGGCCTCTAAAGTTCATGTAAGAAGCATCTCAGCACTCAATAAATGTGAGTTCAAGCAGCTAAAAAAAAAATGCAAGTTGCAAAACTCATGATTTTGGTAAAGTAAAATCATGACCTAGACCATCCTGTTTGCAAAATATTTTAAAGAACTAACAAATGTTATCTTCATTATATTACTGTGTTTTGCTATACATTTAACATTTCAAATATTTTATTGTAATTTTACATTAAAAGACATGTTTACCTCTTGAGTCTTTGTAGTCAGAGGAAATACATATGTTTTAAGCAGTAACAAAATTTGCAGCTATGAATTACAAAATGAATTTTTTTGTGGTATGTGGTAATTGCAGAGGTGTAAGTGGATCAAAGAACTTTGCATTAGGGTCCATTTTTCTGAGTTATAATCCTAAGGGGGAGAATACTAGTGTTAAATCAGGAACCCTGCTTGGAGGAGGTGACCTGGAATCATAATTTGAAGAAGGTGGTATATGGTCTACGGAAGGAGATTTTTACTAGGCCTTGGGTAGGCTGCAGAACTCTGGCTGTCCCAATCAGTGATACAGGCAGGATTCAGACAGTCAAACCAGAATGCTTTCGGTTAAACTTGCGGTAAAACATTCAGGACAAAGATCCCAAACAATATGCACATGTATGATTTTTTTTTTTTTAACAAGCTGAGAAATTCAAACTGAGTGGTTGGTATTAGATTGAAAAATACACCTGCTTTAGGAGTTGATCCCACAGATGGTAACTGCACAGGCATTAAAGCACCAGCTTACCTTCAGAGCTATGGTATTTCGCTAATTTTTGAGGCAGAATAAAAAGAAAGACACCATGTCTGTGTTAGAAAAAGAACAGAACCCTTTCTGGAAATGTTCTTAAACTTGTTCAGAACTATTTTAGGACACCTCTGGTGGGGTCCCAGATACACAAAGTAGAATAAAAGACATGGTGGATATGCTCTCCATGTGGCACCCCAAATACAAGTCACCTGTTGGATTAAGGCCTTGCCCTCCAGCTGCTTCCCCCACCCCCACCCCCACCCACCCAGACCTGGCTCTGCCCACCAGTGTGCCCGCCACGTCTCTCGCCTCATGCTATCCTCACAGGTGCCTGGGGAACAAGCATCACCACCGGATCCTGGTTCCCCCAGCCTTCACAATGACATCTCTCTTCCCCAGCAGAAATTCAAGGATCTTTACCTTCGTAGTGGTGAAATTCTCTTTCTTTCTTTCTTTCAAAACTGGTAAGGAAGTCAAAGTGCATTTCGTTGACTTTTTAGCATCCATCGGAGCCCTGCCAGAGAGAAAGCAAGAAAATACATTGGCAGCAGGAGTCAAATCTAAGCACTGGCCCACATACCTGGGGGCAGAAGAAAGCAGGGCAGGGTGCAGAAAAGAAGGCAGCAGCAGACCCACAGCAGAAGCAAGGTCCCTGATTTCCTTCAATCTGAAAAGAGGGATAAGATCTAGGGAAGGTGGAGGAGATAACCAGGTATCAGCCATTCCAGTAAAGAGAACCCATTTCCCTTAGCTAACTGCAAAGTAATCCTCATTCTCTTGCCACAAATACAATGATCCTTCACAAAATATGGGCATGTTCCTGGGCTACTTGGACAATTTAATGCCTATAGAAAAAAGAACAAGGCAACAATTGATACAAAGTGTTTCCTGGATCTCATTCAGCCATGTATGCCTTTCATTCAGAGCACAGCTCTGTAAATAATTAAGTCACTGCAAGCTGAAAAAACTTGCAACAGTTTATGGAATCTAGTTATAAAGCAGTGATTTATTATAAGTGGGAGGTGAGTCTCAGAGGGCTCTCAGGACACTCACTCTCCTTGTTACCTCAGCATTAGATCAGCAGAGCACTGCTGAAACGCCACCTTGGAAGTCCCTTTTCAGCCTCTCCCCTAACAAGAGCTGGAGGAATCAAGAATCACAAGAAATAGCATTAGAACAGGGACCAAGGAAAAGTGTTTGCATCTGCACATCACTCCACTAGCAGGTTTTTCCAGACACGTAATAAATGATGGCAACACAATTTTGAAATTATTCAGAAGAGTGAAGAAAAATCATGCTAACATTTATTGAAGCATAAATTAAAAAAAATCAGAACTTATTTACCTACAATGGGAAGTTAAATCTGCCACACACGTTTTATGGAATATAATGCAGTCATTTAAAAAATGAAGTAAACCTTTATGCCCATAATATAATTAGCAAAAATAGAACAATGTATATAATATGATTCTATACTTATTACAAATTAAAATGTTTGCTTTCTATTATATAGGCATATTGAAGGATATGAAAGAAATACTGTAAAAACTCTACTGGGTATATATCCAAAAGGAAGGAAATCAATACATGAAAGAGATTTGTACTCTTTGGTATGATTATCACAACACTATTCACAAAAGCCAAAATATGGATTCAGCCTAAGTGCCCATTAGTGGATGAACGAGTAAAGAAAATGTGGTATCAAAAATGTAGTATTTACACACAATATGATATTCACCCATTAAAAAGAATGAAGTCCTCTCACTTGCAGCAACATGGATAGAACTGGAGACCATTATATTAAGTGAAATCAAGCCCAGAAGGAAAAAGGCGGATTTCATGAAAACAGAAACTAGATTGGTGGTTACCAGAGGCTGCGAAAGGGGAAGGGGGAGGAAATAAAAGTGGGGGGGAGAGAATATAAATGTATTTAGTACCACTAATCTGTATAGTTAATAATGGTGAAGATTATAAATTATATATGTATATTTTATTCCAATAAATAAAGAGAAATAATAAAGTATCTCTGAGGAAAAAGGAGTGAGTGGGAACATTAATTTAATTTTTATTTTGAGACATAGTCTTACTCTGCCACCCTGGGTAGAGTGCTGTGGTGTCATAGCTCACAGCAACCTCAAACTTTTGAGCATTTTTCAAATGCTATTTTTTATCCTCAAAATACATGGTGAACTATAGGAAAAGAATCAAAATGCTTTTTTTGTTTGTTTTTAAGATAGGGTCTCTGTCACCTGGGCTAGAGTATAGTAACATAGCTCACTGCAACCTCAAGCTCCTAGGCTCAAGTGATCCTCCAGCTTCTCAACTAATTTTTCTAATTTTTTTTGTAGAGACAGGATCTTGCTTTTGTTCAGGTTAATCTCAATCTCCTGGTCTCAAGCAATCCTCCTGCCTTGGCCTCCCAGAGTACTAGGATTACAAAGTGTGAGCCGCCATGCTTGAACTAAGATGCTTTCAATATTTTGTTTGTATCTTGTTGTCTGAAGAATCGGAGACAAATTTAGCTCAGAGCTAGAGTGAATGTTCTTCTGAGAACATTCTAAAAATTTAAAAACCCTCATCATTGGCAATAGCAACAACAACAAAAATAAACAAATGGGACTTAAACTGAAAAGGCTTTGCACAGCTACAGACACAACAAGTAAAGCAAAAGACAGCCTTCAGAATGGGAAAAGATATTTGCATGTTATGAGTCTGACAAAAGCTTGATAACTAGAATCTGCAGAAGACTCAAATCAATCAACAAAAAGCAAACAATCCCATCTACCACTGGCCAAGAGACATGAACAGAACATTCTCTGAGGAAGACAGACGAATGGCTAACAAACGTATGAAAAAATGCTTATCGTCCCTAATCATCAGAGAAATGCAAATCAAAACCACCCTGAGATATCACCTAATCCCAGTGAAAATGGCCCACCTCACAAAGTCTCATAGATGCAGATGCTGGCATGGATGTGGATGTGGAGAGATGGGAACACTTTTACACTGCTGGTGGGACTGCAAACTAGTATAGCCTTTTTGGAAAGAATTATGGAGCATCCTCAAAGAACTCAAATTAGACCTCCAATTTGATCCCTTAATCCCATTATTAGGCATCTACCCAGAAGAAAAAAAAATCATTTTATCATAAGGACATTTGCACTAGATTGTTTATCACAGCTCAATTTACAATCTACAAGATGTGGAAACAACCTAAATGCCCATCAACCCAGGAATGGATTAACAAAATTCAGCCATAAAAATAGAGACTTTGCATCTTTTGTATCAACCTGGATGGAGTTGAAACACATTCTTCTTAGTAAAGTATCACAAGAATGGAAAAACAAATATCTGATGTACTTAATACTAATATGAAGCCAGTAGATTATCTAATACATGCCCACATAAGAGAAACTCAATTCAATTTAAGTTGAGAGGAGGGAGAGGAGGATTGATGTGCTCCATTTAATGGCTACAATGTAAGGGTATATGGCACACCTTTTGGGTGGAAGACACAACTGCAAGTGGGATTTTACCTAACAAATGCAAATATTGTGACCTAGTTGTTTGTACCCTCACATTATCCTGAAATAAAAAAAATGCTTGGCTCGGTGCCCCTAACTCAGCAAGTAGGGCTCCGGCCACATACACTGAGGCTGGCAGGTTCAAGCCCAGCCAGGGCCTGCTGAACAAAGACAACTCCAACCAAAAAATAGCTGGGCGCCTGTGGTCCCAGCTGCTTGGGAGGCTGAGGCAAGAGAATCGCTTAAGTCCAGGAGTTAGAGGTTGCTGTGAGCTGTGACGCCACAGCACCCTACTGAGGGTGACATAGCGAGACTCTGTTTCAAAGAAAAAAAAATGCTCATCATTAACTTGTAGATCAGAGATTCCCTGCCTCTCCAAATCAATTTCTTTCCTCTGGAATTCAAAAGCACTTTTTTTTTTGAGATAGTTTCACTTTATCACCCTTGGTAGAGTGCCATGGCATCACAGCTCACAGCAACCTTCAACTCTTGGGCTTAGGCAATTCTCTTGCCTTAGCCTCCCAAGTAGCTGGGACTACAGGCACCTGCCACAATGCCTAGCTATTTTTTTTTAAGAGTCAGAGTCTCAATTTGTCACCCTTGGTAGAGTGCTGTGATGTCATAGCTCACAGCAACTGCCAGCTCTTAGGCTTAGGTGATTCTCTTGACTCAGCCTCCCGAGTAGCTGGGACTACAGGCATCCACCACAACGCCCAGCTATTTTCTTGTTGCAGTTTGGCTGGGGGCCGGTTTGAACCCGCCACCCTTGGTATATGGGGCCAGTGCCCTGCTCATGGAGCCACAGGCGCCACCCTTTTTTGTTGTTGTTGTTGCAGTTTGGCTGGGGCCAGGTTCAAACCCACCACCCTCAGTTTATGGGGCCAGTGCCCCACCCACTGAGCCACAGGCACCACCCTCAAAACCACTTTTATCTAAGGACTTAATTTTGTAACTTGGTTTCCAGCTTTGGTGTTACTTAATTATCTTAGGTAATATATTTTTGTCTCACTTGATTGTCTCTTGGGGAACATAGCCAGAGAACTTTTTTTGTTGGTGTTTTTGTTTTTGTTCTCATAGAGGTGAGGATAATGCCTTGTTTATCGAAGACCTGGTGCAAATTTGCTGAGGGAAGAGAAATCTAAGCTAGTTTAGATTAATTCATCAAAAAATTTCAGAGCATTAACTGTGTGCTAACTACTGTGCTAAGCATAGGGGATTCAACGATAAAACAGAATCCTTATTTTCAAGGAGTTTTGGGGGGCAAGACAGACCCACAAACAGTGGGGTTAGCCTTATCACATTTCAAATTGTTTTGTACATATACATTATCTATGTATAGAGCACTTCAATGTCTGGAAAGCAAATGTGTCTTTTGAGATTTACCTGTTATGATTTCAGTATTTCGACTGCAATTGGCAGTAGCTTGATCTTTAATGTCCTTGGGGCTGCCGTCCGGGTTGAACGTGTGGCCGTGCAGGCTTTGCAGGGATAGCCTTTGCATTTCTGTGAACAGATCATGAATTTAATGTACTTCAGTTCTACTTTTTTCTTTTTTTACTGATCCATAATATATGTACATACTTTCAGAGTACATGCAATGTTTGGATGCAGTTATACAATGTGTAGTCATCAAACTGAAAGTGTACTGGTGCTTTAAACAGCAGGTTCTTGGGTGGTCAGACAGAGAATTGAAAGACACACCACTAACAACACAGAGGCACAAAAACCAGATTAGGATGGGACTGGCATAAGCTCCTGGTTTAGGACCAGTACAGAAGCCATTATCTCATGTGAAAAGAGAGCCAAGGAAAGCCTATTTGCCACCCTCATAGGCAATCCATTCACATACCTTCTAGGGAGGCCCTTCAAGCCACTCCAGGAAGTACCCTGGCCAGATGCTCTCAGTCAACACACCCTTTCCGAGCAGACAGAACCACCAGGATGAAATAAAGAGTACACGCCATGTTAAAAGGCCCATCCATC